CATTTTGTAAATCATACTTTTCTTCCTCATTAGCCTGTTGACAGGTCTCTAAATCAGAAACAATTCACTGGTCTTGGGGACATGCTGTTTCTCCCAGGTCTGTAGATCTAGACCTCCTGGTGCCCAAGTCCTGTGAGATGGTGACTAGGGTCTGCCTGTCTGTTTTGTAGCCAACAACTACATGGAATCCAAGTGCCAGGCTGTCATCCAAGAACTGCGTAAGTGTTGTGCTCGGTATCCCAAGGGAAGATCTCCCGTCTGCTCAGGATTTGAGAAGGAAGAGGAAGAAAAGCTGACGCTGAAGTCCACATCCAAGTAAAGTTCTGCTGAGAAGTCAGACGCTGCTCCGCACTTCCACCATGCGGGCTTTATTTGTCCTCCTGACTTTCTTCAGGTCAGGTAGCAGCAAATAAATATCAAATGAAAACGTCAACTATAAAAGTTAACGAATATGTCATCTATGCAGAACAAATACAAATATATTAAACAACTATGTAGAATGTAATAAAACTGAGCTGCTAAAATAAACCTTTTAAGTGAAAAAATTTGGTTTGGTACTTGTGGTATTTTGACTTAAAATATGTATTTGGTCTTTGTCTCGTTCCTGGCAGAGCTCCTGAAACCCTTGGAATGTCCTAAGTGATAAGTGCAATAAAGGTATCTTTTGTCATCTTAATGAGGTGACTGGAAAGCGCCAAGTTACCTTTGGATGGGGGCTGGTTGTCAGGGGAACCAACCGTGGGATTTTGAGGGTTGGAACTTTCAGTTCCCGCCCCCATCCCAACCCTGACCTCAAGGAGGAAGGGGGGCAGGGGCTGGAGAAGACTGAGTTTTGTCACCAATGATTTCATCAGTCATGACTGTCATCAAAAATCACAGTAAGAGAAAACCAATGAATCATGGAAGAAATAATTAGTGAATGTTTATTGTGCCCACACCAAAAAGAGTGTGCACACCAGGAGCACTCCAAAACAGGCACAGGCCCAGGGCTATGCCGGTATACAGCAGCATATATAGCACGGAGGCAGTGGCTGTTTATTCTTCCAAGTGATTGGTTATATTAGAATTGTCTTAGAAGGTAGGGAACTGGTTACAGGTTACCTCCTAACAGCCTTGGGAAACAGTTTTTGTTTTGCTTATGATTTCCAAAGGCATAAGGAAGAAATGACCCAGGTTAGTCTTTCAAAATAAGCTAAATTAAGCCTAAACTGGCTTTGTCTGCTCAGGGAATCTTCAAGACTGGTCTCAATTTTTTATTTTAATGCTGTAATGAAGCGTCCATAAAACCCAAAACGATGGGATTCAGAGAGCTTCTGGGTTGGGGCACTAGAATGCATCCATGTGCTGAGAGGGGGACACACCCCTGTTCCAGGGGGACAGCTTACTCTCTGTACCTCATCTGGCTGTTGTTCATCTGTATCCTTTAGAATGTCCTTTATAATAAACTGGTAAATGTTTAAGTGAATGTTTCTAAGTTCTGTGAGCTGCTCTAGTAAATCAGCCAAACCCAAGGAGGGAGTCAGTGGGAACCTCAGGTAACAACCCAGACTTGCAGTAGGTGTCTGAAAATGTAGGAGCAGTCTCGTGGGAGCAGACTAATCCATCAACCTGTGGGATCTGATGCTAACTCCAGGTAGCGTTATAACTGAATTAAATGTGTAGGTCACCCAGTCAGTGTCCAATAATTCAGAGCCAAGTGGCCTTCCAGGTGCATCCCCACCGAAGTGCTAGCCAGAAGGCACTTCATATTTGTTCAATGACTGGTAGGAAAGGCATAGAAATGGTTCTTGTAATGTTTAACAGCCTCAATTTATCATGAGAACTGGAAGAAAAAAACTTCACTGGAAGTCAGGCAGCAACAGAACTAGAATTCTTAGGTGGTTTAGTCTACACTTCATATCCTTATAATCAGGACCTGTTACAGTGGCTCCTGATGATGTTAAGAGAAGGAACAGGTGGGGGCAGGACTAAACAGGCCATTTGCTTTTCTCAAACAGGTGCCAGAACCACCATCACTCCATTCCCACCCCCACCCTCTGCAAAAAGAAAAAAAAGGAACAGATTCTGATAGGTCCTCATCTTAGTCCGTTCAGGCTGCTGTAACAAAGTACCACAGACAAGGGGCTTCCACAACAGGTACTTACTTCTCACAGTTCTGGAAGCGGGAAGTCCAAGATCAAGGTGCGTGCGGGCAGATTCAGTGTCTGGTGAGGGCCTTCTTCCTGGTACATAGATGGCTGCCTTCTCGCTGTGTCCTCACATGGAGGAAGGGACAAGGGAGCTCTCTGGGGTCTGTTTTCTAAAGACAGGAATCCCACTCACGAGGGCCTTGTGCTCCTGACTTAATCACCTCCAAATACCATCATCACCTTGGGGGTTAGGATTTCAACATGAATTCTGAGGAACCACAAACATTCACTCCATGACAGAAAAAGTCTACATTGCAGTGAATGAACTAAGATACTCCCTGATGTTCAAAGGCTGTTTGAGACAAGTGTTCTTTAAAGCAGCATTCCCCACATTGTTTCTAGGAATTGCTGTAATGGGGGAAAAACCGGTTTTGCAGATAGCATCTCTCAGGGTGGGTGAACGTTCTCCAGAGAGACTTGGACAAATGTTGCCTTAGAGATGTTTGGTCCACAAACTAGGGTAAAAGTGCTACATTCTCATGAAGTCATTAAAATAAACTCTTGTGTTACTAGTAAAGCAATTTAATGAAACATTTTATAACTAATTTTACATCATATACAAATCTAAGTTACATTTAAAGTTGTCAACTGAGCTCAAGATCACTAATTATCAGAGAAATGCAAATCAAAACTAC